TGTAACTACTATCTGTAATCAGATGAGTCACACATCTGGTTACTAACTCAGCCCCATCCCCACCTTTCCCCTCAAGTCTCTTGTATTCCTGCAGCAATTCCACATTGTTCCTTGTCTAAATGACTGGCCTTTGGCTAACAGTTGTCCTACATTCACTCACCCTATCTAGGTAGTTGGAAGAGTGGTGGCACCATTAGTATAAGCAGATCAGGAGGAAGAGATGGTTTTGAAGAGAGTGTGGGTTTGCCTTGAATGTAATGCGTTTCCTGTTCCCATTTCAGCCTCAGAAATATGGCCAAGCCTCACGGGAAGTACACCAAGGGACTGTAATTTGTGAGCAAAAAAATATGGCTTAGGTGACTGAAGTGGAATGAAGCTTTAAGGGTCTACCTGAATATAAGGGATTATTTATTTTAAGATTGCTGAGAAAGACCTAAACAGCCCCTAATTGCAACCCTAAATGTGGGGTTTTCACAGTTTCTAGGTCTCTGAATTGTTGCTCACAGGGACTGGTGAGGTGAATGGTGGGAGTATACTCTAGTCTTGAAGGATGCTAAGTTGTTGCTAAAAACAAGTAACAACAGAAATGCCCTGGGAACTGTTTTGTTTGTTGTGTTGTTTTGTTTTGGTTCAGAGTCTAGCTGCTACAGGTAGCTGAGGTCAAGAGCCTGAGGCCGATGTGGCTTGTCCCCATGTGAGTGGCTCACCAGGAGGGGACAAAAGTATGAGCACAGTGTGGGGATGCTGGAGATGAGCTTTGCTGGCTGCCTGGTATTGCCCAGCATGGTGCCTCCGAATAGTAGTACTGCCAGGCTTGCAGACTTCACTCTACACTTTATAGATGGAAAACAGACACTCAGCCCAAAACCAGATTTTGCGGTCACACAGTTAGAACCCAGGACCCAGGGCTCCTTCCACCGCACCAGCTGCTGCCTCCTGAGGCATCTCCTCCCTGTGCACCACCACCAGGTGCATTGCAAACTGAGAACACAGTCCAGGGGCGTAAGCCCTGGGGGCCAGGCACTGTCAGCAGGGTGGGGGCTGGGAGGGGAGGAAGAGGTGATCAGTCCCAGGCTGCTCCTGGGCCAGCACCCACCCCTGTCCCAGCAGCCACTGGATGAGGCATGGTGGGGGGCTGCCCACGTAACCACAGGCACAGGGAAATCAACCTCGGACGGCTAATCGCCTATCCAAACATTGTTGGTAATCTGCATCCCTAAAATAAACCCTTGAAAGATGGAAAGATGTTAGTAATTTCTGGCCATATGTGCCTCCTCCTTCCCTACTTTCCCCACCTCAGAAAAGAAAGCGAGCCAAATGGCAAGGAATAAAGAGCCTAATGCAGAACACATGTCCGTCATTTGATTTCCCCTCCCCGCACTGTCCCCCCACTTATGTAAACTAAATTCCTTTACACGGTCATGGCAAAGGACCATTAATTTTTGATTTGAGTTGTGATTAAAAGCAATACGGTCAGAAGAGTGAGATAATTTCCACTGAAGCAATATCATTTGAAACCCAGTGGTGGTGTGGTAGGAAAGAGCGGGGGCTCTGGGGTTAGGTGTGGGTTCTACTTCTGATTTTGTTTCTTACAAACAGTGGCCATGTGTTTTCATTGCTTAACCTGAGTCCTTCTTGATTGTAATAAATAATCATGAAGATTCTTCACGTGGATGCTGTGAGCATTAAATTAGAAGCCAAGCCGACAGCCCGTCTCCTGTGCTCATAGACAGAGGCCGGCACATGGTGAGACCCTAAGAAAGGATGGCTCACTCCTCTGCAGAAAAGAGGGTGCCCACAGTGTCAGCTGGGCATGCATTCACCCCTCCCGGTGATGGAATTGATCACTTCTATGGCAGCTCTTCATTTCCAGCCTTGGACTTTGGGAAATAGCTTGAGACTCATTTAAACCGCGGGGCCACATCTTAGAGCATCTTGTGAAAGGAGAATTGTTCCAACTGCATTGCCTCCCTGCAGTATTCTTTGCTGCCTTTCTGTGTGGTTTTTCCTTGGCTCTGTTTGGCAGAGAGGAGGCAGGGATGGACACTTGACTTTGCCTGGGCCTGAGCACTGTGTCTCCTCTGGCTGGTTCCTCACTCAACCCTGCTGAGAACCTTTCTTATTTAGCGAGCCACACAGACTAGAACAGTTGAAGTCTTTTCTCAAGTGAACCCCAGGCACAAGGTTTGTAAGCCAACAAGGGAAGCTTAACCAGGTGTGGGCCTGTTTGGACACGTCTGGGGTAAGGTCCGCTTTCTGTTCTACACCCCCCGCTGCTGGTCCCATGACATCTGTCCATGGTGGGGGTGGGAGTAAAGCATAATCAGAGGCGCTGGGCAATGGCTGGTTCGGGCTGGGGGAGAATTAAAGAAAGGAACTCACTCCCACGTGTGCGGGGAAGCCTGGACCAGCCTGTGAGGTCAATGGTAATCCTCAGCGAGAGCGTTCTGCTGCTCGGTGCCCAGTTCCTGAACCTTCTGCCACTCTTAGGAGTGAGGCATTTCATAAGCGACACCAGGCCTAGGGTATTATATGGGGTTAAGTAAGCTGCAAGGTCTGGAGTCCTTGTGTAAGAAAAAGAAAGCAGTGGGAACATGTTTAATTTACTGACTTTGACTCATTCATTAAAGATTTGTTCCTAGGACATTTTCTCCCCTTCTCCTTGTTTTTGGGTTAGGCCAAGGGTGTGTTTTCTAATCAACTAAATATTAAGTTATAAAGCCTTCACAAATGCAGCGTTTCCTTTGCCAGAACAACCTCTTTTACCATTTCACAAGTCAAGTCATTTTGAAATGTGGATGAAACTGGGAAGAGTTCGAGCTCCTCCCCCCGATTTTCATGGCCCATTTAATCAGTGCTCTACGTTTTGGGTTCATTATAAAGAATTTTGCAACTATAGGGTCAGCATGGGCAGCACAGTGATTGAAAGTGCACATTCAGACATGAGTTTCCCTTTAGCATTAGGGACTTAACCCCTTAGGCCTCAGTTTTCTCACCTGTGAGTTGGGGAAAATAATGGCACCTCCCTCATGGAGTTGTTGGGTTTCATTGAGGAAATGCGTGGAAAATGCTCAGCACACTCCTGGGCATGCCATATGCTTTCGTAATTGTTAGCTGTGGTTATTTAGTTCAGATTTAAGTCTTTCCTCATGGAGTGTGGGTGGAAGTTTTGTGTTATTAAGAAGAGGGGGCTGAGCCCTGGCTGGTGTGGCTCAGTTGGTTGGGTGTGGTCTTATGCACCAAAATGATGTTTTTCTCTCTCTTCTCCTCTCCCTTCCTATCTCTCTAAAAGGCAATTAAAAAAATCTTTTAAAAAGGTGGGGGCTGAGTAATTTTGAATTCAGAAGAACTCAGAGGATGTACAAATTATCTGGTGACTAGCATCTAGAAAATGATTTCCAACTCCTTTGGAAATATCGGGACTGGCTGGTCTTAGGACTATTACAGCGATGCTGTGTATTAATGCACTAACAACTTAGAGAGTTGTCTCCACACTGATTTATCTTCATCAAGGGACCCTGTGCAGCCATCACTAAAGCATCTGGTTCACACGTTAGCATTAAAATAATGTTAACTGCCTGGCTGGTGTGGCTCAGTGGTTGATCACCGACCTATGAACCAGGAGGTCATAATTCGATTCTCTCTCAGGGCTGGGTATGGGGGCTAAATCCCCAATAGGAAGCATCTGGTCAATGACTCTCATCATTGATGTTTCTGTTTCTCTCTCCCTCTCCTTTCCTCTCTTTGAAATCAATAAAAACATGTTAAAAAAAAAAAAGTTAACTCAGCCCTGGTTGGGTGGCTTAGTTGGTTGGAGCATCATACAGTGCACCAAAGAGGTTGTAGGTCTGATTCCTGGTCAGGGCATATACCTACGTTGTGGGTTCGATCCCTGGTTAACATGCATATGGGAGGCAACCAATCAATGTTTCTCTCTCACGTCAATGTTTCTTTCTCTCTTCTCTCCCTTCCCCTCTCTCTAAAAATCAATAAACATATTCTCAGTTGAGGATAAAAAATAAATTTAAAAAATGAAATAATGTTAACTCAGGGTGTGTAGAGACAAAGAAAGGAGAAGCCCGAGTGGGTGGACACGCTGGCTTTCCCTTTGTGCAGGGGGATGTGCTGAGAACAGAAGAAGCCCATGTACCAGATTAGACTTGAGAGTTCATCACCTGCGTTTACCTCTTAGGACTTCACCAGGACTTGCTCTCATCTAACAACGGGAAGTCAAAAGAGAGTTTGCTTCCGTTGGGGTCTACTCAGTGGAGAGAACATTGGTGGCAGCCGCTAGAGGCTGATTAGTGCTTGACAAAACATTAGGGGTATCTGGTGTCAAACCTCCTTAAAAGGCACGCTGGTGGGGCCCTGATTTCTCCAATGCTGCAGGTGGGCACTGATGTTTCATGCACGTGAGCATGACAATTTGAAGCATCCTGTAACTTTCCCTTGCTTGCTATGCACACGTAGATTCTATCCATCTTGTTTAGAGGACACAGCTTTTGAGGAATTTCATGCCCCTTGGATGTTAAAAAAATGAAACCAATATCTTAAAAACACACACCTCAGGGTACATTTTTCTTGGAATGCAAAGGTCTAAAGCATTAGATTATATGGATTATATTGGATTATATAATCCCCTTCCTCTCTTAAAGCATTGTGTGCTATTCTGAGTCACCAAGTTTTCAAAAAGAGAAATATGAGCTGGTTTTGAAAATATACTTGAGACTCATGGCCCTTGTGGCCACTGTTGAGGTACCTACTGGTAGGTACCACAAAACCAAGAAGCAGAAGCAGTCATAAAGGATAACTGGGCCCTTGCTACTTAATTTCTAAAATGGCCTCCTTTGGCCTGCTGTTTGCCTTTCATGTCACCCTCCCCTTCAGCCACAGGTTTGGGTGGTGGGTTTACATGAAAAGCTGTGTTCTAAAATGCTTCCTCTCTCCCCTCCCCC